ATTCAAATGCATTTTTAGAACCTTTATAATAATAATTAAATAAACTCTTAAAAGGATTACTTACCATCACTACTATTGTTGTTGTTGTTACCATCATCACTGTTATTATTGTTGTTACCATCACCACCATTATTATTATTACTAACACTGCTGTTAGTACTTGCAATAGCTCCACCTAAAAATTCAAATGCATTTTTAGGATCTTTACAATAAATAAATAAATAAATAAATAAATAATAATAAATAAACATTGAAATATTGCTTACCACTAGCTTCACCACCACTACCATTACTATTATTATTACTAGCACCGCTGCTAATATTTGCAATATTCTCATCTAAAAAATTTGAATGTGTTTTTAGAACCATTGCAATAAATAAATAAACAAACTTTTGAAATATTACTTACCACCAGTTTCATCATTAATGTCAATGTTAACGGTATCATTATTACTGTTAACACCACCACTAGTATTTACAATAATTATATCTAAAAATTTGAATGCATTTTTAGAACCTTTATGATATATAAATAAAATAAATTTTTGAAATATTGTTTACCATTACCATCATTGTTGTTATTATCATTACTAGCTTCATTATTAATTTGATCTATATAATAATATTATTTTTTAAAATTTAGGTTATAAAATTAAGACAATATTTTTTAAAATTTAATAATGCGTAAATAATATTTTTTAAAATTTTAATTTTAATTTTTCGCTGATCAAAAAAAAATACCTTCAATCGTTACATTGCTTGGTATATCCTCTTCATGAATGTAACCATCAGCAAATAATAATTCCAAGACTGTATCATTACTTCTTGGTTCAACACCAAAAACCAAACAATATGGAGTATTGTGGGTTGGTCTTGAAATAGAAGTATTCATACTATGGATTATAATTTTTAGTGCAAAACTCCAATCATCTCGGCAGTTATCTATCATCCACTTTGATAGTTTATTTTCTAAATCCTTATTTCCACATTCTACAAGCCCCTGTGACTGTGGATGGCGTGGTCTGCCATTAATAATTTTTGTACCTGGCCATATCTCCATCAACTCTTTTATTACTTTGGAATTGAACTCCTTTCCATTATCATATTGTAATATTGTTGGAGCTCCAAAGGCTGTAAACAAGTCAAATAAATTTGATGCAACCTCAATTGAAGATTTAGATTTCCCCATGAATATCTAGTAAAGTGATTGCGAGCATGAAGAATATATTTATATTCTCCATCGGGAGACATTTCCACAAGGTCCACCTATCAATTTTATAATTATTTTATTGATTTTATTTTAATAAAATGAAACACAAAAATCATTAAAATTAATTACTTGTAAGCGTGACATAAAAGAATTTGCAATTATTGGTTTTCCAGCAACTGTTAATTGTCTAACGTTATTTCTGCTAGAACAAGTAAGGCACCTTTTGACCAATAACTCAATTAGGTCTTGTTTAACTCCACCTCATGTTTTTTTAATATTATTCCAAGTTTGG